ATGTAGAATTTTCTACTCAACAGAATTTTATGGTCATGTTAGAATGTGGGCTGTGCAAGACTCAGAGCCACTCTGAATGTAAGTTGAGACTAGAGTCTGAGAAACACAGTGGGCATTTATTTAAGAGGAATGTGGTGAATGCAACATATCAGAAGATATCCTGGCATCAAGGGTAGAGAGACAAGAGACCAGGTGCCCCTCAGGACAGTATTGTAACACTTCAGAGGTGGATTAGAAGTATCTAAACAGAAATGCTGACACTGGGATAGGGAGTAGGATTTTTTTTTTTCCATTTCAAGGTAAGTTGCAGGCATCACTGCAGTTCACCCATAGACACTTCAACTTAGAGATTATAATGCAGCTTAAGTTAAAGGTCAGAGTCTAGTCTGCAAGGGAGGTGATGAAGTCAAGGTTACCCAGCTTTACTTCAGATCCCATAACACAGAGCAGGACACAAGGAGAGAAGACACAGGAGAGTGGACTCCTGGGCGAAGGTGGACTCGCTGCCCAAAGGAGGCTGCAGAGAGAGAGAGTGCACAACCACGTCCTGGCCACACACGTTAGGGCGCGGGGTAGACCAAAACATGGCACAGCAGGTGCTAAGACCCTGGGACACATGAAAGATGCAAGGAAGGGTGGGTGGTGGGAACACTGCAGGGATGTGGGATTGAGCGGAGGAAGCAGAGCCTGGGCTTCACCTGAGGGGTGGAGCAAGGAGCAGAGTCCTCCCTCTCACCCATGGATCAGGGACCATGGAGAAAGGTCTGGATCTCCAACGTGCCCAGGGAGGAAGCAGAGGTAGGAGGGTGAGGCTGGAGAGGCTTGGGGAGGAGCAGGTGCCCAGCCTGATCTGAGATCTGATTCCTCCAATTCCCCAGGTGTTAAAGAGCCACGGACAAGACTACCTGGTTGGCAACAGGCTGAGCCGAGCTGACATTCAACTGGTTGAACTTATCTATAACCTGGAAGAGTTTGATCCCAGCCTTACCGCCAACTTCCCTCTGCTGAAGGTGATCAATTTTATTCCTTCACAGCCCTCAAAGAGGCAGCCCCATATCTCCCATGTGTGGAGACTAGTATTTGGACCCTTGACTAGTGACATTCAGATCTGAGCCTCCTCTAGGCCTTCACTGCCCAAGGTCTCCATCTGGTTTCCTTTCCTGGGCTCCAGATCCTGCTGTCAGACCTCCTATTTCTCTCTGGCCAGGCCTCCTCCACACTCTGAACCATCCCACCTCTACCTCCCAGTGGGAAAACTGATTTGGAGTGGCCACAAACTTGCAATTCATTTTTTGTCTTAATTTCCTACTCAGTTTTCTCTGGTATCTGTTCCCGCCTGAACAGTGGAACTGCAGGAGGGGACGTAGTCTGTGTGTGCAGTCTGGGGACAGTGGAACTGCAGGAGGGGACGCAGTCTGTGTGTGCAGTCTGGGGACAGTGGAACTGCAGGAGGGGACGCA